GCCGGGCGGGCCGGTCCGCTGAGGGCGGCGGCGGCTCCTCCGGGGCCCGCGGCACCGCGGCGACCTGCGCGGCCATTTCAGGGGCTCCCTCACACACATTTAAATGGCCCGAGCGCTGGGCGCCGCCGCGCACGCGCCGCCGCGGGGCACCCTGGGACGTGTAGTTCGGAAACGGAGGGGGGGGCGCGTGCGCGCGGCGCGGGTCACGTGGGCCGCGCGAGGAGGGCGGGAAAGCGCTGAGGGAGCGCGGGGCCGGGCAGGGAGGAGGGGTGGAAAACTTTTATTTTAATGGCGTTTGTCGCTTGTTCTAAAGTGCTTCACCCCTTAAACACCGGCCGCGGGGTGCTGAGGAGGGTTTCCCCGTGAGGGAGATGATGTGGAGCTGTTGGAGCGAGCCTAAGGAGGCCATCCCTGCCCATGGCAGTGGGATGGGATAAAGTAGAATATTTAAGGGTTAGGAGGGAATTTAAAAATCTCGTTTCACCCGCTGCCATGGGCTGGCGCACCTTCCACCACAGCAGGTTCTTCCAAACCCTGTCCAGGCTGGGCAAAACAGGAATATAATTTGGGTAAAGGCTTTCGCTGTTTTCTGCTGTTAAGAAACCCTGTAATAAAAACAGGCATACGGGGTTTTTTACAGTAATAAAAATATAGCAATATTGGTTATTCCCCCAGTTTTAAACCAGCTGAGTTTTCCATTCCAGCAGTGGTCAGCAGATTCTTCTTGACCAAATCCCCCAAATCCCACCTTGGTTTGTGGGGTTTTTTTGAGATTTGTTTTTTTCTCCCCTATCTTCACAGGAACAGACTCATATAAAGCAATGTTCAGCATCTTTATCCCTCCCCACTGATCAGTGGAATCTGGTGAGGAATCTGGCAAGAAATCTCCCCTGTTCCCACCTGAAATTCTGTGCTGGAGAATCACAAATCCTTGAAATCAGCATTGCTTTAAAATACAATAATATTTTGCTTGCTGTCATGGTGTTTTGGGATTTTTATTCCCAGACAGAAGAGCGGCTGGGTCAGCCACTTGTGCAGTTACATTGGTTTAGTTTCCATGGGATCAATCACCATCTTAAGTCTTATTGCCCCAAAATCCAGAGAAATGCTCTGATTCACTCAGATAGGGAAAAAAAAAAAGAAAAAAAAGCTTATTTAGAAATTATTATTTCTAAAATTTGGGAATCTAATTCCCCCTTAGTCCAAGTAATGTAAACATTTCAGTGTCTTTGATTGCAGTAGACCTACAAACGTGAGAGAGGGTCTTGATCACCTCAGCTCTGTTGGATTTCCAGTTCATTCCAGAGCCTTCACTGGGTCCCATCATCAGTTTGTGCTCAAATCCATCCTCTTGAAGTGATTATATTCCAAAACATGACAAGAATATGTCCCTCCTTAGGATAAAACTTGTATTCCAAGTATTGTATGTCCCACTGCGAATTAACTGAAAG